GGTTCAGACTTCCGGTTAGAAATCAGCCTTTCAGTTAGCAGCCAAGTGCTCACCGTTTCACCACCAAGGATCGTTATTGTGATGCTTATAGGAGGTCATTCCAAGAAGGCGCTGAACTCTCCCTAATGTGCTTAAGCACACAGTAAGCATTCAAGAAATGTTACTTATCCTCAGCTTTTATTTAGAGCCACCTTCGAGCTGAGATCTGCCTACACAGATGTACCTTGAAAGCCAGCATGTGCTCTCGACTCCTTCCAGAGAACTTGGCCCCTGACCCCATCTTTGATTCCTCAGTGACTCCCGTCTCTCGTAGTCCACTAGCAGGTCCTAAGTAAAAGTGTTTGGTCTGGTGGGCCCAGGCAAGTTCTCTCATCACCAACTTCTCTCTAACCGAGAGACGGCCAGTGTTTCATCCTTCCCTCCACTGCCCACAGTTACCATCCCCTCCGACAAGCCAGTCTCCTTGAGCAAACCCCCAGGAACTTCAGGTCTACATAATTGGGGTTCTTGAAGGAATGTCCAGGCTCTCTGCTGAGGCTGGCATCTGATCTTGGATCGCATCAGGTTCAACATCCGTTCAGAGCAGAGCCCTGACTCAGCAGAGATTCAGTAGCTTGCCTTCCTGCACAAGGGTTTTGAGAGCAGCCATACGCAGCAGTGCATGAATTACTGTAGCGCTGGAGGACGATCCTCTTTGTTGAAATGCCCAGAGGAATGGAAGCATGGTTTGATACCAGCTCCACAAGCTTCTTCTACATCCTCAAGTGTGCATTCGGCAGATTAACAACGTAGTGTGTATAACTTTCGTCCCTCCTGTTGCTAGCCCAGAAGGTCTGAACTAACGATCATAGGAAGATCTGGCTTTGTTTAGCATATGTTAGACCTGGGGATACGTATTATACCCCAGCCGTCCATCTTGAAAACTCTCTGAGCACAGTATTATGTTGACAAATTGAATCAACACAAATGTTATTGTGATCAGCAGCTGGTAAAGAAATGATCAAAGCCCCCTACCCCAACCCTTCTCCCTACCCAGCATACACACAAGCTGCAGGATTCCCAGCACCAGGGTCTAGGAGCTTATTGGGGGTGGGGGTGGGGGGATACTGGAAAGGGAGCATTGAAGATAAGCAGAGATTCTTCTCCTCCGGGCCCTTCACTGTGAGACCGTCCTGGCCCTCTCCCGGGGGTGGCTCCTCTCCTGCCCACTGTGGGTCTGAAGAGATGCCAGTCTTGTGTGGTCTGTAGGCCTCCCTTGGGTTCGTGCCATGCATGCTCTCACTGTGACCTGGGGGCCTCTTTTCAGGAGCCCCCTGGTTGATTAGCGGATAGGAGTGACGAAGGAGGCCTCACGTCTTCCTGTTATCACCACTTTCTTCCCTTTCTCTGCTTTTTGCTGTTTCTCCAACGTGCACTGCGGGTCTTCACGTTCTCCTCTCAGCTCTCACAAAAGGAATGTCCATTCTACAAAGCGGCAGCAATCGATGTCGCTCTGGTCCACGGTGGTATAGCCAACCCCAAAACCATTGCTTGACACGTGGCAGGCAGACAGTAAATATTTTTTGAACGAATGCATGCGTTGTCTGTCTTCCCATTTCTAGCCCCTCTGTGGCATCGTTCCTGCTTCACGCTGTTGGTCAAGACAGTGGAGCCCGGGCGACCTTCAGGTTTCACACGGCCCATAGCTCCATCGTGAGGTAACCCAGAAGCCAGCTGGGCTCCCCGAGCCACTAAAGTGCTTGAGCTTCCAGTAATTCCTCTTACTAAACACCAAGTCCAGAGCCCTTTCTCCAGATTTCATCCTCTGGGCTGTTGCCTCCTCACGACTGTTGAGCCTTGGCTTGACCCAGATGTGAAATCCAGCCCGCTGCGCCATCTCCATGTGTGTGTGTGGCCACAGGCATTCAAACCATTCATACCACATGTACTGGAATGGGGACGGTCTGGGTATCCCAGAACTCACAGCGTATACGTCACAACGCACAACTCGCAGTCGCCAAGGGGACATTTTGAGCTCAGCTCTTGGAAGTTCTTTGGCCTACCCATCCCTGGAGATTGCTCCCAGGCGCTGCACCTTCGCAAGCTTCTTGCTAACTCAACTCTTCCCTCCCCTTCCTCCCTTCTTTCCCCCCCTCCATCGCCCTTCTGCTCCCCTGCCTTTGCTTCCCCCTTCTCTTCTCTCCTTCTCCTTATTTGGCAGGGATAAAAAAAGTCAAAGTATTTCCTCAGGCAGAAGAAGCACATTTGTGCATTTTTGCAATTGGGCTCCTGATGCCCAGGTCTCTAAGTTCTACCCAAACAACTTATCCATTAGCCTTTTGTTCTCCGGAACAAAGATGGAATGGCTGTCTCTTTGAAAGTTGGGAAAAATAAACTGTCTCATAGCTACAAGGAGCCCTGGGGTGGTGATTTCAGGTGAGCTCTTGGACTGCTTAGTCACAAGGTCTGTGGTTCAAACCCACAGGAGAAAGATAAGGCTCTCTGCTCCCATAAAGGTTTACAGCCTCAGAAACCCAGCCTCTGGTCATTAGGAGTTGGATGTGACCTTGGCAGAGCAGTCACTACACCTTGTAATTAATTACATGAGCATACGAGTATGAACTCAACCCAGTATTTTATACAGTTAACAAATACATGGTGGTTGGTAAGACTGGTAACAGTATAGACCTTCAGGGAGGGAACCTGAGTACATTGCGACAGGTATGGGATAAAGACTTCTCACTATAACCTTTCCTCTACCCCCACCCCCACCCCATTTTTAAATGTAATTCTTTAAAACTTTTCATTTTGATTTGGGTGAGGGTCTACAGAGCAGACCATGAGTTTTACATTCAGCAAGGTGTGCACATCTTGTTTGAGCGCCTTTATTACAGTACCCTGAGTGCCTCCTCGCATAGCCCGCTTCCTCCCTGTTTCCTGTTTCCAATCCTCCTTCCCTGGCCCTCTGAACTTTGTTCTTGGGGAAAGGCTGCCCTTTGGATCGTGAATGTTTGTTTGTTTTAACCTGAGGGTAAGTTCCAGTCCAGACCTGAAAAGTGATGCTTACCTTTTTGTATCCCATATTTCCTTTAGGTCAGACACACAGACATTCTCTCTCTGTAATGTCAATAAGTGAGGCACAGGTGTCTTGATCGGCTGATCCCACTAACGTGATTAGCTCCAGTGACCTTAAGCCAGGCTGCGTCACGGGAATGGCTGATGCCATCTGTGGTTAATGGATTAGGCCTCCTGCCCAGTTCTGGAGGCTTTACCATTCATCGCACATGTCACCTTTTCCCACTAGGATTTCCTGGTTGGGCTGATCCAAGCCCCTCAGCACACAGCCTACTGAAAACCGTACTTTCCAAGTGTTTAGGTTATATCATCTGATTGAGGAACCCCAAAATTACAGAGGTAGACCCCAGAAACCATTTGCAACCACCTTGGCAAGCAATGTAAAATTCGTAAGGGGAAATAAATGTGCAACACATTTCAGATTTTAAAATATATATGATGTTTGTAAGTATTTCTGATAGAGCAATCTGAATAGGAAAGGGGATGTTAACAGCTGTGTATTGAAGTATATCAAATTTGAGCACATGATTAAACTCCCACACAAGCACACACACAAAATCCCCCTTAAGGAATCAACTCTTGTTTTGAAAACTGATAAATAAAAGGAGAGAATCAAGCATTTATCCTGCCTCACCTAAACTCTACTTCAGTATAACCAAATGATTCCTAAGAGAATGCTTCTCTTTATGGAAGGATTCCAGGAAATGAGTGGCAGAATTTCCATAGCCCCATTTTGCAATCCCTATTGATTTATTGAATCCAGACAATGTTCATCAATATCTGTTAATATTAGAAAAGAAAAATACCATTTGTGTTCCCCATGAATGTGTTGGGAGATATAGAATTTTGATTAGATTCGGTTTTATTTTTTTCAAAGGCAATACTTTATAAAGGTGTTGTGTTGTGTCATTAGGAATCTCCTAGTGGAAATCCGCAACATAAATGTACCTCCTGAGAAAAAAAATTCAAACCTGAATCTAATCAAATTTCTATATCTCACAACCCATTTATAGGAAATACAAAGAAACGTGTTAAATATTACCATGGAGATGCAATCAGAAAAAAAATCATATCGGGAACAACTCTCCAGGACAAACAATCTGTTTCTTCAACAATAACTTGGAAAGATTAAAAAAGAGAGCGGGGGAGAGATAGGAGGAGCCCTGTAAATTAAAAGTGATTGAAAAGACATGCCAACAGATCGCAATGAACGGGCCTTATTTAGATCCTGATGCAGCAAATCGTTGTGTTTTGTATTGAAATTATGGCAGTGTCTTAATACTGTGCAGCGATCTGTTAATATAAAAAAATGAATGTTTCGGGTCTTACAACACTACGATGGCTATGTTTTGAAAGTCCTCTTTTAGAGGTACATGTTAACATAGGGATGAAACAAAGGGTATCTGATGCATATATGCTCATGTATGTAGTGCACAGGACAGCTGGAAAGAGACATTAGGGAGGATTGGCCCAGGCCGTGTTTCTCAGACTCCTGACCCGGGACTGTGCATCGGAACGGCCCGCCTCACACCCTCCCAGGCAGAATCTCAGAAGGGGGAGCCCAGAGCGGGCTGACACCCATGTCCTGTGCCTGACCCGTGTGCCAACTGTTCACGTCTCGACTGTTTTGCTTCAGAACGTAGGCGTTTACAGGACAAAATGCTCTCAGACTTGTATTCAAAGCAGCACCCCTCCGAAAGCCAGGCAGCTTTTTTTCTTTTTTGAACTGTGCTGGCAGTGACCCAATCAGCCGAGGTCACTCGGTGCATCCTCCCCGTGTTTCCTCGGGGCTGGAAAGGCAGCGTGTGCTGCTGGCATCGTGCCCGAGACATGCATGGTAAGTTGGTGGTACGTTGAACGAAAATGACTCTTCTTTTTCTTCCACTGCTTCTCACATGGTTATCTTTGATTAAGCACCCTCCGCTTTGTTTTTGTTTCCTTCCCAGCATCATTGACAAAGAAGTCTCACTGATGGCAGAAATGGATAAAGTGAAAGAAGAAGCCAGTAAGTAGACACCGAGTTGTTTGATTACACAAAAATAAATAAAGGTACAAACCAGTGGCTGGGAGAGTTGAGTCCCAACGGCCCCAGGCCGCAGTCTTTATGGAAGCAGACGGCCACGTCTTTGTCCTCGACCAGCCGATGGGCGTGAACCTCCACCTTTAGCTTCCCAGCTGTTGTTGGACCAGGGGCTGCTACTCAGATGCAGTTCACAGGTCAGGCCAACTCTGATTTTGGATCCTGACCGAGGTCCTGAAATTCACGCGGACATCATAGCTTAATAAGCTTTACGGTCTCGGGCAAGCGGTTCAGCTCTTGGAGAAAGGCTATGGTACCACCTCATGGGACCAGCAGAATAGGCAACAGCAGATAATAGGTGGCATTTTGTTTAGCATATGGACTACAGGTGTGTGCACCTCTGCTCTCCCGGCCCTGTAGCACGCATTGGCTAGTTAATGCTGGTCTCTGCGTGGAGTAGCTCAAAGGACGCACAGGTGTTACCGATGCTAGTCGTGGTCATGAAGGACTGCTAAGTTGTCATTGGGTTTTTAATGATACAAAATTGAGTGTGAAAGTTTAAAACAAAATTCCAAATCTTCATATGAAGCTAGCTGTGTTATTTATATGATTATTCTCCCTTGTTTTGTAAGTTCAGTGAACTCAAGTCCACCAAATTAAGTTCCCTTAAAGAATTGGTCTCATTTTTTTAACTTAGCTACCGTATATACTCGTATAAGCCGAAAATTTCCGCACATTTTCATGCAGTTTTCGTGATAAAAGTAGGTGCCTCGGCTGATACTCAGGTTGGCTTATACTCAAGTATATGTGGCACTTTAAATTTACCTTGACTTTTGGACGGTATTTGAAATTTAATGCAGCTGACTTCTTCCCAGCACTTCGGGTGACTGAAAAGGCAAGTCCACAGACTAATAAGCAAAACAACCCTATGTGGTTTTTCAGAGACTAATCATTCCAAATAGGAGATGGACTAAATCAAAGTCTTCTTTAAATACTGAACTATTTTCACAAACAGAGTCAGATTCAGTAGACCAGCTTCACCTCACACAAAAGAAAGTCAACTACGTGTTTTAAATTGAAATCACAAGTCAAATTGACCAATCTAACAAATGCTCCGTTTCACTAATGAGCACACTTTTCTTATCTCCACCATTGCAAACCTCGTACTAAATTTAGACCCAAGTTTTAATACTCTCGGTTTGATTTATTATCTCTATGTATATTTCAAAAGTACTCACCCAAAAGTTTTCCCATCCAAATAGGCTGAGGTCCCGTGGGTGGAAATTTCAGCTGAGGCAAGACGACATGGTCAGATATGTCACCGTCCCACGGGAGCTCTGCTGGGTCACACTCACTAGCTCTGCCGAGCCCTTTCTTCTGATTGAGTTTCACCTACTGTCTCCATGGGAAAACTCTAGGATCCTGTGTTTCGGTTGGGTTTTAGTTTAAAATCCTTATCCCCTGGGCACTTTTCCTTCCTTCTTCTTCCTGGCAGTCACCACACCCCAGTGAGGTCTCAGCCTATTACCTTTGACTGCAATGAACCATTTTTTTTTTTGTCTTTTATCCTTTCCTCTCTTTTTTTGGCCAAAATAAAAAATCAGACCAAATTCTCCATTCTTCCCATATTTTTCATAACGTAGCCAGCCATTTTATAGAAAATACTTGTGATCGCGGTTACATCGTTTCCTGCATCATTTTAAATAGCATTTTAAACTCTCAAATAGGCAAGCTTTATGAAATGCAGCCAACTGTGGCCCAGAGTGAACTTGTGGACTGTGTGGGCTCCTTTGATGTCAGATTCTTCTATTCTTATAAAATGGTTGGCCTTGTTCCGTAAAAGTGAACTGTAAACCTTACTTGGGATTTTCCGTTTCCCAGGTAGACTTTTTTTCTTCTTTTACAGTTTCATATCCTAATCATAAAAACGCTGACGGTCGTCGCAGACACAGATGGTTCTGCAGCGCTGAAACAGAGTGTTACGAGCACATCATTTTCTCAGGCGGAGGCTAACAAAGACTTCGGGGTTCACATGCTCTCGTTCTTTCTTGAGACAATAATGCGGGTTAGGTGCCAAGACCTGTGGAATTTAGAACACTTCTGGAGAGCATCCGGTTCTTAAACACTGGCTGCATGCCGGCTTTTGTGCTCCGCACTGATAGAGACTGGGCTCCACAGGAAGCAGATGTGAGACCCCCTGTCCTGGGGCTTTCAGACCGCTGAAGTAGCATTCAGCTTCCTTGAGTAATTGGTACTGCAGGTACTGGTTCTGAATTGTTCTTGGCCCAGCTCAAGGGATGGATCAGGGCTCAGGCTTTGGCCGTAGACAGAGCTTGAAGTCCAAATCTAAGCTCTACCCATTTACTGTCTGGGAACCTTGAATCATGTAGTTAATTGTGGGGTTAAGGGTAAGAGGGAACCCCACAAAACATCACAGGTTTGGTAGGCGCAATTGTACAGCGATAATAAGTAGAGATTATAGTAAAGTCA